CTGTGTAAAAACAGCGTTTCCCAAAAATGAAAACATTCCTTTATCATGATATTCTTACAACACTCAAAAAGCAAATAAGAAATGTTCACAGTTGTTTTGATTTACTTACAAGTTGTTCCATTAAGTTTGCTCCGGTCGCTTGCGAGTCTCCGCCATGTTGAATGGATTCTTCTGAACGTCGGTTAGAGCAACGAGGTGACGTCACTTTACGTCACTCCGTAAACTTAAAAATAATAATTTAAATAGAAGAGTTTACTCAAAACTGTTGAGCCACACAAAAATAAAACTAAATTCCTCGTTCAGAAAATGCAATTGTTATAAGTTGCATCAACGATTTAACAGACTTTAATTGCAGTGTTCTTAATCTTTATAAGTTAGTAGTACTGTTCGGGTTTACAGTGTGGGGGCGTGTTAGAACGAGCCGTTTTAGGTAGGCGTGGTTGACTCTTAACTTTTATAAAGAATATCTCTTTGGATTTGAGACTTTAGTCTTTGCAACTTTACAGATCTTCTTTATGCACCAAGAGCTTGTAACACTCCAAAGAGAAAGGAAAACTTGAAATCGCATCATATGACCCCTTTAAAATTAATTTTGCATTACACAGAGTTACAATACATCTATCAAATAATGTGTCTAAGATCAGCATGCTCGCAAAGAAATGCCAAGCTAATTGCACAAACTTCTCCTCACATATGTTTCGCCCGGAGAAACATACCAATTTGAAAAACTAGCGGAATGCATAGTCGATATAAAAAACTGGATGATGAGTAATTTCTTACTGCTATTTGATTGCAAATGATTGCAAAGATACTTTTTAAACTGAACTGAGCTGGATGATGACATCACTGAATTCAATGATGAACTGCCTTTAACTGAAAAATGAGTGTTTACTATTGTCATTTTGCATTATTGACACACTATTTTCCTAATTAATGCTGTTCAGTTGCTTTGACACAATCTGTATTGTTAAAAGCGCTATATAAATAAAGGTGACATATCACAGACTAAAACAGACAAATTACTAAAACTCATACATACTAAATGGTTATATTTTTTGCTTATTTTTGTTATACATAGTGAAGCAATACGTTTTTGAAACAATCCAACACAATTGTCAACAATATCCGTGTAACTTTCCGATTCCTCTATAAAGAGTGCATATGACCTCACAAACAGCAGGTGTGTAAACTAAGAGTGCATGTCTGCAGCCAGACCCTGAACTCCCATAGCAGAAGTGAAGTGATTGCCAGGCCTAGACACAATCTGTCCACACAAGACTCAAAATTCTCAGCAGATTTCTGCAGAACGCTCATGATTCACAAAGTTCCCATTGCTTATGTATGTGTTCATTAAATACTTTGACTAATTTGAGAACGCTCTCAGCTGTATAATCCTTACAGGAATAGTTCACCCAAAAATAAAAATTTGCTGAAAATTTACTCACCCTCAGGCCATCCAAGATGTAGATGAGTTTGTTTTTTCATCGGAACAGATTTGGAGAAATGTAGCATTACATCAATTGCTCACCAATGGATCCTCTGCAGTGAATGGGTGCCATCAGAATGAGTTTAAACAGCTGGTAAAAACATCACAATAATCCACAAGTAGTCCACACAACTGACTCCAGTCCATCAGTTAACGTTTTGTGAAGTAAAAAACTGCATGTTTGTAACAAACAAACACATCATTAAGGCATTTTACCTTAAAACCTTTGCTTCTAGTCGAAATATGAGTCCATAATAATAACACTTCCTCTAGTGCAAAGTTCATCCCCTGTTGTCTTCTCACGTCAAAATCCACCAACATATTTGTTTAGAACTATTCCACCTAAGGAGGCGAGGACATGTCCTCTGTGCTTCAGCTCTGGTAATTAGGATGCAGCGCTCCGTCTGGATGGCCGTGTACTGAAAAGAAAAGCAACGTAAGCACCCTACATAACAATCTCCAACCTGTCCTGCCCTCAGCAAAAGGGTGAATAATTGAGTTTTATACAAAGAACACTGTCCACAAACACACTTATTCCAGGAACATGATTATTTTTGACACTTGAGGTCTTAGACTGTAGGACGCTCTGCATAGTGAAAGCTTTATCCACGTTCACATCACCACTCATACCATATGAATGAGGCTGAGAATATGAGAATCTGCTCACAGCTACAAATACACTGCTAACATGATTTCAGGCAATTCATTATTATTATTATTCATTTTTGTTGCATTCCCAAATATATGTTGCCTACAGAAAAACCTTCTGAAGGAGATTTTCAAACTGATGCACTGACCAGCAAACAGAAAAGTGAGTCAGCATTCAACACAATATTAGGTCTAGATGAGCCTGTTACTGATGCAAAGGTCACAGAAACCTGATTCTAAGATAAGACAGGCCAGCCACTGCAATTAGCTTCCAGATTTCCTCCTAAACAAGGAGATTTTGAATTGAAATGCACTTGACAATCTCATGCTGATTCATGCATACAGATGTAGTACAAGTCAAGTCAAGTGACCTTTATTTATATCTTTATTATGGAAATTGCTAGCCATCCAGTTTTTTATATCAACTATGCATTCCAT